TTTGGAATTCGGTGCTGACATTGTTTATACAGAAGAATTAATAGATTTGAAGTTAATGCGAAGCAAGAGACGAGTAAATGGTAAGCGTGTAAATATATGAGGATTGCATTACAATTAATACTTTGACATATAACAGCTGCATTGGGCACAATTGACTTTGTTGACCGAAGTGACGGAACAATTGTATTTCGTACTTGTGCAAACGAACGACAACAACTTGTACTGCAGTTGGGAACAAGTGATGCAGAACGCGCATTAAGCGTAGGCAAGTTAGTAGAGAATGACATTGCCGGGCTAGATATAAATATGGGATGCCCCAAAGAATTCTCCATAAAAGGAGGAATGGGCGTAGCACTACTTGCTCAACCAGATAAAGCGGAGTATATCCTAACAACATTGTGCAAACATTTGAGCATACCAGTAACCTGCAAAATTAGGTAAGCTTAAAATGCTTAACATAATCATAAAAGAAAGACTAATTTAAAACAAAAATACAGAATTTTACCAGATCTCAACGATACGATTAAATTGGTGCAGCGTTTTGCAACTACAGGAATTGCTGCTATTGCGATACACGCGCGTACGCGTGATGAACGACCACAGCACGCGCCACATCCAGGTAAATATCGATACTATTAGTAACGCTTATATAGTTTAATTGAATTAATTTATTCTTTATATATTACGTAGATTTTATACGGGAAATTGCGAAAGCGGTCAATATACCAGTGATTGCAAATGGCGGTTCGAAAGAGTTTCACAATCATAAAGACTTAATAAGCTTTCGCGACTTGTGCGGCGCTACCAGTGTTATGGTGGGTAGAGCTGCCCAGTTGAATGTTTCTATTTTTCGAAAAGAAGGTAATTTTTTTTAAATGAATAATTAACTAAAACTATATAATAATAATTATATCTTAGGTATGCTGCCTATGAATGATATTATTGTTAAGTATTTAAAGCTTAGTGTCGACTACGATAATGCAGCGCACAACACGAAATATTGCGTGCAAAACATTTTAAAAGAGTTGCAAGAATCACCGCGTGGTAAACAATTTTTACAATGTCAGACGCTACAGCAAATGTGGTAAGTACTGTTATTTAGCTATATGAAATGTATGCAATTTCAAAAGATTTTCTCACAGTGAAATCTGGTCGCTGGGCGATTATTGTTATCGCAAACAATTGGAACTGAAAGAGCGCGGAAACTTTGGCAGACGTGAAGTGGCACCGGGCATGTTACTTGATGATGACACCAGTGAAGGTCCCGAAATAAAACGTCAAAAAAAGGACATACCTCCACTAGAGGCTGATGTTGTTCAACACAATATTGCATTCTTGCGTTCGAATTACAATAGCGGTCTGTATGAAAAATTTGCTAGTTTTTGCTTCTTATATTAAATTTGCAATTCATATATAGATACACAATTGCCAAAAACAAAACTCTACACGTATGCTGGTCGTAACAACTTAAGCATAGCGCAGTATGAAACGCAACGCATTGATAAACTCTTCCGCGCCATTTGCACTTTCAACGGCAAACGGTATACGAGTTCATTTTGGGAGAAAAATAAAAAACAGGCCGAACAAGGTGCAGCACTGGTGTGTTTACTTGACATCGGCGAAGTAACCGAAGATGATTTAATAAAAAATGGTAGCATATTACGGTGATATATTGAATCTTATTTATGTAAATATGACTGGTAAATGTTTTTACTGCAATGATGACAATGCAACTTAATAAAAGAAAAGAGTTAAGTTTGTATGAAAGCTATATTGTCCAATATTAGGGGAAAACTTCGTGGCAAACTTCAAGTGCCATGTGCAGGATATAGCTTATTTAAAAAAAATTAACTAATTATGTCACGTTATGTAACGCTTTCAATCATATATTTACCCCAATATGGTTATCATATTTATGTTTTGAACTTTATACTCCAGTATAAAATTTGCGTATTTTGTGTATTAAACTTAATTTAAAAGTTCTATTTTACTGTTAACATTTATTGCGGTTCATGCTGTTCTAACTCTTCTATTTTTGTTGACGGTTGACGGTTTGATGATGGTTTTGTTGTTGTGGATGTTGATGTTGCTGCACTGGTGGCTGGCTATGTCTCTGCTGCTGCTGCTGCTGCTGATGATTATGATGGTGTTGAGTATGATGAGGCTGACGCTGTGGTGGTGGCATCATGTCATTGTCATCTCGATGTCCATAGTTGGCAATAAAATGCAGTAAACCAGACTGAGTTATCGGATAACGAATACTTTCCACAACCGCTATAACATAATAGATAGAGATAGATTTTTATAAGATTATAATTTGTGCAATTGAAATTAGGAACTCACAGGTGGCAGTGTTAAAACTATTCGGAAGCATTTTGTCTGTGCGTTCGCGCATAAATTCCCATTCGCCCTTCTGATTTATGGCGCATTCAATGATCTTATTATCTAAATTCTTTAATGCTTTCGTATATTTCATCTTGGAAAAATATTCTGTTGTGCCACCGACATAAAGGTAGCCCACTTTCTCAGTTAACATGCTAAAAAGAAGAAAATGCTTTAGTACACATTTAAAAAATATATAAAATGAAAGATTGCACTAACCCCGGGGCACTTTCCACTTTTATTTTAAGTCGAAAATCGATTGAGTTCATATTACTTGGTTTCCATTTAAGTACGTCCTTGCACACGCCAGCTGTGTAGGGCTGAAAAAAAGTGTTGTTATTGAAATGACAGCAGCTCTAAATTTTAATTTATTTTTTTCTTAATCTTACTTGTTTTGAAGGTTGAAAAATTAAACCATCTGGTACATGTAATAACGACTTTGAGAACTTCTCACCCAGTAAGGAGGCAGATTGGCGAATATCCCAAAATTCTTTATTACGAATGCTGAATGGTTCCAACGGTCTATTGATCAGTCCTTTGGTGATAGCCTCATAGCGTGGTTCTAAAAATATGCGTTTGAGAGATTTCTTAAGCAAGTCTAGTTCGTTTGGTTACCAACACACCTATAATTTCTTTTTTGATGCAAGTCAGCCGGTCGGGATAGAAGGGTTTCGCACCAATGTCATAATTGGAAATTTTAATTATATCGTATATGAGGTAGCGCGGAATAGATTCACCATTGAGTTTGTCAATAACCATTTCCTAGTGCAAACAATTATTAACATTTCGTTTGAAATAAAAAATAATAATTTGTAGCTTACTCCATCTAAAAGTGTGTCTTCTAAGTGCTGACCTAAATTGCCAGCCTTGACAAATGTTATGTTTTCGACTTGGAAACAAGTATTGTTTCTGTCGAAAAAGTATATCTCATCACGTTTATTAATAAGCATCATATACCTGTGGTGAATAGTTAAGAAAGTAGTAGTAGTATTATAAACACATGTGAGTATATATTGCTTACCGCGTGCCATCCGCCTTCCACGACACACGATATGGTATTTCGCTTAAACGTTTTAAATTATTCTTATCCATAGATACGGGCTGCGCACCAGGAAAACCTGATTTCTTCCAACCGCACATTTCCTGTACCTTTAGCTGTAAATCTCCCAACCTTGGTTGGTCGGTTACTTGCACTACACCTGGAACACCGCTCATGAAGGTGGCATTTTTAATTACCAACTCTTTGCGTCGCTTCTTTTTAGGGCCACCACCATTGGAAGCGCCCGGTTCCTCATCGTTTTGATCATCTTCTTCGTACTCCTCTTGCTCGTCGCATTTGTCGTTGTTAATGTCATCTGCTTTACGCTTATGAGAGTCGTAGGAGTTTGCGTCATTTTCATCACCGTCATCATATTCTAAATACCATGCTGGTAAGTTAGGCGCTGGTAGAGGGTCCTCATCATCTTCGTATCGACGGAATAATTCATTAATATAGTCCTGTTTGTAAATTCCTGGTGGACGTGCCTCCGCAAATATGGCTATTGCTGCTTCAATTGAGTAATCCAGTCTTTCCACCAAGTAGGAAGCAATTAAAAATCCTGTTCTATTGAAACCATGTGTACAATGTACGCCTACAGTTTCAAAAGGACGTTCATTGACAAAGCGATCAACAATTTCGATAAACGATTGGGTTTGCTCTGGCGAAGGTGTTTCTCCATGGCCGCGACACTGTAGCTTTACATATTGAGCATCGCGTGATTCAACAATTTGACGATTGTAAAAACGCGTTGTGTTGGTCAAATCAATCCAAAGGCCCAGTTTTAACTAAAATTACAAACTGTTATTGCCAAAATTATACGAAAATAATATATTGATCTACAACAGCCAAATCGAATATGTATACATATACATATATACATATAACATAAAAGTAGTTGTGCATACAATATTGGCGACACGTTGCAGGGTATCAGTACAAACCTTTATTGCTTTAAAATAGTCAAAAATCATTTCAGGATGAAAGAGACATTCAATTGGCACTTGATCATCGAATGCACTACTCAATGGTGTTTTAAATGCCAAAAATCTTTCAGCAATTAATTTTTCGCTCTTTCGGGGGCAATTCAGCCATCGATTTGGTATCGGTCCAGGCCTTGAATTTCGGGACATCTTTATAATTCAGCACTTTAACACCGAAATAAAGGTGTGTGCTTTTGAACTGCACAATAAAAATCACTATTTATATTTCACTCGCACAGACTTTTTTTGGTAACTTTTTATACACAATTTTATCCAAAGCCACAGACACATAAATTAAAATTTGCACTACGCTGTCAATTACAGCTGATAGTCGATGGTGATGGATGCACTTACAATTTTAGACGATAGCTATCGATTTTGTTTGTTGGTCGCACTTTGACTGATAAAAAAAAACTTTAATTATAGTTTTATATAATAATACTTATTACTTTCAAAAAAGAAAAAAATAATAGATTATGTGTTGTGCTTTTTTTTTGTTAATTTAAGAGTCTAATTTTTTTTATATTTTTATTACATTTATCTATGTAATGAATTTCGGAACATATCAATCATTCTGAGGTGTTCCGTTTCCATTTAGTCTTTATAACTTAGCTAATCTGATTTAAGAAGTTGCGGCGTTTTGCACTCATTTCTTGTCTAAATATTTGTAAATTTTATTCAATACAGAAAAGAAAATAAAGATAAACTATTATGTCAGACACCGAGAAAAATATACCCGAAGGTTGGGAAGTGCGTAAAAGTCGGTCAACGGGTAAGCAATATATGACTTTTATACAATACTTCGTTGCTGAAAGTTATCGCCAATGAATATTAGAATGGTGTATATACATATTTACAGAAAGGAAAGGAATAAAATTGGCGTATTTTATACTTTGCAGGATTGACTTATTATTTAAATATTTATACAAAAGAATCCCAGTGGGATTTACCGTCTGAGCCCGCAAAAAAGGAGTCGTCTGGTCCTACTGAGGTGCGATGCTCCCATTTACTTGTTAAGCATAAAGGTAGTCGCCGTCCTAGTTCATGGCGCGAAGAAAATATTACGCGATCTAAAGAAGAAGCACGTGCGATTTTAGATGACTATCGCAAGCAGATTGAATCTGGTGACACTACATTAGCCGCACTAGCAACTAAGTACTCTGACTGCAGCTCCGCAAAACGTGGCGGAGATTTAGGCCCATTTGGCAAAGGTATCCATAATTGTTGTAGTTATGTCCTGTATGCTTTCATGTTCATTTTGTTTTAGGTCAAATGCAGAAGGCATTTGAAGATGCAGCATTTAGTTTGAAGGTTGGACAAATGTCGAAAATTGTCGATACAGACTCCGGACTACATATAATTCTACGTACGGAATAAACAATTTATATTAACATATAATTCTCCTAATCGATTTAATTAACTAAAATCGCATTTAAAAATTTCTAATAACTAAACTTTTTATTTTATCTGTAATTACTTTCATATTGTTAGCTAAACAAGTAATCCATTAAAATTATCAAAAATACATATGATAAAATTAAAATAAATCAAACGATACTATATTAAAATTCCATTTTATTCAGTAATAACTTTTGCCCAGCACCCTTTTCTTTTTTAAGCACTTCACTTAATGGCTTAAGGAGCTCTTTAAGTGCCGATTTCACAGCCTCATTATTTTGCTCGAAAACATTTAATAATATAAAACAGGCCCGGTTTACATTTAACCAATCTCGCAGCTAAAAATTTATAAGGTAAATTAATGTGGGTGATATATGCAAATCTGGTATTTCTTACCGTATCAGTATTAAGTTTTTGAACGAGGATTGATCCAAATGTTTCTGCACTTTCGTTTGTGGACAAACGTTCTTTGTCATTTTTGATAATCTTTTTCAATACAATATGCAGGCCAGATTCCTCAATGCCTAGGGCTGTTACCATAGCGATCGGTTCTTTAGCCTCTTCTACTTCATCATCCGATGAATCGTTTTGTGGCTCATCAGCGTCAGCAGGAGCTGCTAAGCGTTTTTGTTTCTTCACTTTGGTTGCTTCTGCAATTATTTTCTCTACATCCTGAATGCTTTTTGCCTTTTTTGCTTTTCCTTCCTCTTCTACAGTTACAGTCCAAGTTGGGTCCACAATAACATCAGCGAGGGCTCTGGAAGCTTTCTCAAAGTGCTCTTGGGTTACTAAAGAGGAAATGAAAACATAAGGTGTTTAATTAAAAAAATGGCGAGCATAATTACAAAAAGAACACAAACATTTCTTCAATATTTCGGCTGTGACGAGACCTATATGTCGATTAGACAGCCAGAATTTCGGGTCTTCACAAATGGCTGTAGATAAGGGCTCTTCGATTTGTTCGAATATTTCTTTACGTCTAACATCTGTATCTTTTTTCCCATATTGCAACCCATCATTAATGCTTGTAATGAAGCTGGGATGGAAGCAATTTGTATCGGCAGGCACAACGAACCATTCAATGACACGACGACCCCATTGATTTTCCATCAAAGTTTTCAATTCGGGATTCAAATTGTCATATATTGCCTTCTTAGTTGCTTTTGTGTCATCAAGGCAGTTTACTAAGGCTATTAAGAAAATATGGCCATGTTCATGTGTACTAATTTTTATCAAGTGATCTTTGATGGTTTTTATTATAGCCTGAAAAAACAAAAGTTTTACATTTGGAAAAGAGGTCAATCAAAAAAGGAATACATTTAATTTTAATAGTTATAAGAAAAATACGTCTCTTTTTTTTATTAACTTACCCGCCTATTTTTAGGAGTGGATTTATAAAAACAAATTATTGCCGCTTGAGTTCCATCCTTAGTTGTTAGCAAAAGTGGTATCAGAGGCGCAAATGAACTAACGGTTTCTTCTATTTTATCATCTTCACAAACTGTTAAATATTCCAAGATGACTGCGTGAACCAGAGAATTATCCACTAACTGTTTGTTGGCCAAATGGTCGATGTTGGATTTAACAGCACTCAATATGGACAATTTCATATCGACTGCGTCTTTGTACGCATCAGCGAGTGATTTTACATTATCATCTTTTGATTGACGATACAGTTCTCCATAAAATTCTTGACGAAGATAAATACGTTGTTTTGTGTTTGCTATAGTGTGGTAGGCGTGATCCAGAATTTTACTAGATATATTGTGTCCAGCCAAGCGTATTACATTGCCCATAAAGCTATCAACAATTTTTGATTTTATTGTAGGTGAGCCGTATTTGAACATTCTTAGTACACAAAAGTGAGAATATTTAGATACACACATTTCAACGACCAGAGGTAGTAGTTTCTGCATATATATATATATATACATTTATTAATAAATGTAAATACATGTGAAAAGACGTATATATTACCTCGGATAATTGATCTCGAAGTGAAGGTGAAGAATGCTTTAACATGCATTGTATGATACGTGCCGTATCATGTGCCATTATTAACTTCTTTATCACATCGCCACGATTCAGAATATTATATAGTTTTTCGACGAGCTCAGATTTTTTTTCTGTACGACGACTTCAGGAATATAAATATAAATTTCTCAGTAGTATATACAAGAAAAACACTAATTACCATTTTAGTTTTTCATAAATTTGTTTAGCTTCCACTGACACCTCATAAGATTCCTTGGCTTGTTTACGTTTAAGTTTCAGCTCCTTCTTTTCTTGTTTGAATTTACGCCAGTCGGTTTTTTCGCCTTCGGCAGGCCCGCTTCCTCTTTCACCCAACTTCTTACCTTTACCATTCTTATCAAATTTGCCGGAACCATTAAACTTTCCAACGAATTTGTTGGCTCCTGGTTTTCCTGAGAATTTATTTGCACCGGGTTTGCCAACATTTTTTAGAGGAAATTTCGAATTTCCTGTGGATTTTTTAGCAAATTTGTTTGCTTTGGTCGGATCTTCTCCTTTCCCCGATTTATTTATGGCTTTGTCTGCTTCGAATTTCGAGGATTTTTTCTTAATTGGCTCGTCAGTGTCATTCTCCGATGCACGTTTCTTAGCCTTAATCATTATTATGCACAAATTATTGAACAAATCGGCAGATGTCTATGTAATATTCAGTCCACGTGCGTTCAAAATGTTGTTTTCTTTATATGAAATGATTTGAAGTATATCGTATCTACAATTATTGCAACTCTGTTAGTTCGTTTCCATGTTGTTCTGTGTCATTTACCGCATCGTATCATTCAACGTTGCGTTTGTAATTTCTGTACTCCTTTTTCAGTGCTTCTGTTTTTTGCCACAATTTTCACGGCGTCCTAAAAAATAAAGGTACATTTTGTGTAGAAAATAGCACTTTATTCAGAAGTTTTTGAGCTTGAATATTCATTATTTTATAGATTGAGAGTTTAAAAAAATATCTCCTACAAAAAGAGTATAATTTGTGAAAGAAAATATTTTCAAGTTTTAAAGCGGCGAAAATTAAAATGGGGAGAGTACATAAGAAAAAAATCGCAGAATATGCGGAATCTGCTGAAAATGAAAACGAACAAGATGAGGAAACTAAAAAGAGCGCCACGGTGGAGTCCAATAGCGATGAATCGGAAGTTGAAGCTGGACGTGAAGAAGGTGATGATGGAAAGAAAAAACAAAGCGTTGTAAGAGATCAAACACATCCCCAAGGGAATACCGATGATGAATTCCATTCTGTACAGGGTAGTGTCACCGATGATGATCAGGAAGAGGAAGGAAGTAGCGGTACGAGCGGTAAGAAGGGGAACAAACGCAAAGCAGCGCCAGAGAAACTCACCGATGGCGACAATGATAATATGGATAGTGACGATGAGCCATTGAATGGCGGCGGTACTGGTGGCGGTGTAGCTAAGAAGGGGCGCAAGTCGACAGCGGGTGGAAAACAGAAAGCTGCGGGAAAGAATGGCAAAGCCGGTGGTAGGCGTGGCAAGGGCAAAAAAACACAAACTAAGGCTCTAGCTGTAGAGGAGGATGACGGAGGGGATGAGGAAGTATACGAGGTATGGGAAGATTTAATTTTCATATAAAAATTTATTATTTTAAAATTATCGATAAACAACAATATTAAAAATATCGATATTTGATTATATTTAAATATTAAAATTATTTATGAATATAATAATACAAAAAAAGTAAGAACATTTAGTCATGTATACGTCAATTATGGTTTCCGGTTAGGAACAAGTACTATAATAATATATGAAAAACTAAAGCACACAATTTAAACATTTTATTTACAAGGTTAAAGACATAGTGGGCCATAAGGTAGAACATGGTGTTACTTACTACTTGATACGCTGGAAAGGATACACCAAGGATGACGACACATGGGAGCCAGAGGATACTCTATCGTGCCCAGACATAATTGAAAGATATAAAAATAAGGTATTTAAAAAAGAAATATATTTGGCTTTGACTATGATATTTACTATGGAATTGTCTTTTTTTTAGCAATCGGCTAGCAAAACAAATAAGAAAAGTGGTGTTGCTGCAAAGAAAGGACGTCCAACAAAAAGCGAATCATCGGTTGATCCAAACAAAGAATGGGAGGTAGACAAGATAATCGACTATGCTGAAGAGAAGAATCAACGCATATTTCGCATACGTTGGAAGGGTTTTGGACCGAAGGCGGACACTTGGGAACCGGAAGCGAATTTGTCATGTGATGAAATCATTGATAAATTTATGAAACGCATGAAATCCCAAGAAAATGTATCATTTAAAGAACTTCGTGAAGAGCCGAAAAAAACCAAACGGCTTGTAAATGAAACATCACCACGTACAAATTACCATAATCCAATTGGGCGAAAATCAAAGCGCGCCGTATCAAAGAAAAGGTACGCGTAAGAGTTATTTGAAAACCATCCAAATACTTTTTTATACTAATTTTTTCATTTGCAGGGTTTATTATGGTGATAGTGATGAGTAACTTTTATAACGTTTCTTTTATCTGAAAAAAAAATTTTTTTTATATATGCGGCAACATCTAAGCATGTCTTGCGGTGTTTTAATTTTTTAGTTCCAAAAATTTGCTTTTGAATGTTAACATTTTAGCCGTTGTTGGTTTATTAATATCTATCTAAATTGTATCTGTCACCGCATGCTAAACAAAAATTAATTTGACCGAATTTTAGACCTTTTAAGTTAAATATTACTTTGCCGAATATATAAAAAAATTCAACAACTATGCGTATATACATACATATGTATGTACGCCCTCGGTGACATGTTGTACGTATTAGTAGTAATACATTTATAATGTATATTTGATTTAAATGAATAAGAAACAATGAATTAAACATTTTATCAACCATATGAAAATATTGCAAATTATTTTTTTTATAAAAAAGAAAAAAAAGAAAATTAAATAAGTTCTAAAAATTGTAACCAGTAGATTTATACAAAACTATAACTCTACACGATTTTAAGAATAAATATAATGAATGACAGCGTTTCAGTTTTTACATACATACATATATTGCCATCTAAATAACTAGCAACACAACTTTATATTTATTAATTACTTATTCTGGTATTTGATCCAGAATATTGATGGAAACGGAGAAAT